AGCATCTCCACATCCAGAAAGCAGCAGAGGCGGCTGCCGGGAGATGCTGCAGAGGGACCCTGGCAGCTGGGGAGAAGCTAGGCTCACCAGGGCCCACAGGAGAACCGCTGTCCCCAAACCTTGCCGGCCTGCCATTATTGCATCTCAGCATTATGCCTGCGTGTGCAGGAACCTTCCCACACATGAACTCACCACCCAACAGAGGAAGAGTCAAACTCTGAAGAACAAGGGTTTTTTGCTTATTATTAACAGCCAGGCTCTGGCTGCAGCCTGGACTTGATGGTAAATACCCAAGGGAAGAGTAGAAAGTGCTCTCCTCCCTTCTAACAGTGCAAGGTCAGGCTTGAACACCCAGAGATGGTCCCAAACCACTGTCAGAGGATGCTTTCCCCCTCACCACCCACTCCAGCGCATGGGCCCCAAGACCAGAGCGTGCCTGTCTTCCCACCCAGATCACAGGGATGGCATCTGCTCCCCAGAGAGCTGGCAGGGCTGCCTGGGCATACCCGCAATCCCAGGGGTGTCCACGCCACGGCTAACTCAGCTCAGCCACCTGCCTGATGCACACAGCCGCTCTGCAGGAATTCCCAGGGGAACTGAGTGGTCCAGCCCTACCCCAGCACCATGACTTCTCCCCAGGAACGTCTGACAGCCCTTCACTGACTTAACCCCAGCTTTGGAGATGTGACAAAGGGACCCACCATGGAAAAGGCCACTCTCACCCCAGCGCTCGTTACCTACAGCTCTGCTCTGGCTCCTGTTCCTGGCTCGGTCTCGCTCGCCAGAGCCAGCTGTACCATGGACATGACCCAGCCAGCCAAGATGCCAGGCCACAGGCATCGCCCATGCCCAGCGAGATGGATGACCTCACAGGGGAAGGACCAGAAGCACCCACTGGATTTCAGCAAGATTCAGGTCCCAAACATCTGACCTCATCATCAGTGGTTTGGTATCACCTGGATCCAGCCTGGGAGAGGAATTTGGGGCCAGGGTGGGGCAGGAGAGGGGGAAGAGACCTCACAATCAAAATGCAAAAAGGGATGAAAACCAAACCACTGCTTACAAATAAAGAATTGAACAAAGGGCAAAGAAGCCTAGAAGGTCTTATAAAAGTATAAGCAAAATAGCTGTGGAGGGGAAGGGGCTGAGACACAGCTAAAGGCATCCTGTAGGTAGGGTAAGGGGAAGCGAAGATCGAAAAAAGCCCAGGTGACAGACTATCTTCTTCCTGAATCCAGGTAGCCAGAGGAACAGCAGCCCTAGAGAGCAGGATTTATCTCCTGGACAACATCCATGCTGCCTTTGGCCAGCTTCACCCTCCCTGCTGCCTCCCCAGTGGCATCCTATGCTCAGGCTGCCTGCTGAGAGAACAACCCTTTGGGAGGGACCATCCCCTACTCCAGCCCTACAGAGCATCCTCAGGCGGTCTGGCAACCACGTCTTGAAGACACATGTGAGCACTTGTCACAAGGCTGACACAACACCAGCTCCAGCATGGCGACCCTCCTGGGTGCTGTGGGGCAATGAGTGATGCAAGAGACCAAGCAGAGGCAGCATGAAGAAGCCTGAAAGTCTCTTGAAATAAATGTCAGAAGTGCAACACAGGTACAGAGTAGAAACATGTTTTACTCCCAAGAGGCTTTGGCCGCAACTGCTCTTTGGTTTGAAAAGGAAACACCAGCAGTTAGCAGAGAGTCCTTCGCGGTGTGATGCCCAGGGGACATCAGCCCCCATGCCAGCCCCTGCCTTCCCACCCAGCACCGCACTCCTGATGCTCACATGCCTCCTGCTATTTCCATCACCTCTCACCTCACGGTACAAAACATGACCCAAAGGCACAGCAATGGAGATTGACCTGCTCCCCCAGCCTGCCTGTATGCAACACAGCTGCTTTCAACTAGACAATCTCCCTATAAAAATATACCCAAGGCTCTCGGCAGCTGCTCAGCCGCCCGCTCCGCACAGGTCCTCCACCCACCAGCATCGAGGTCTGGCAACAGAAACCACCGTGGGCTTCTACTGGATTTGGGCTGTTGAAGGGCAGCAAACAAGATGAAGAGACCAAGTCACCATGGGCCTATGGACAGTCCTACTTAATGATGCTCTAATGCCACACCAAGACGTTTTTGAACCTGGAGGCACCTACTCACAGGCACTGGCTGATGACCTGGACCTGAACTTGTCCCCACTGAGCTCCCTACAGCGTCCCCTCTCCCCCAGGCATGGGCCCCCAAGCACACAGCCCTGATGATGCTCTCTCTGCCCAGGGCACTGCTTGGCTGTTTCCACATCGTAAGTGGAACCGGAGCTCCTCACTGGGACACCAAGGGCCTTCCCAGCTGCTCAGCATGAGGAAACGCTCCCCAACAGTCCCTCTGCCCAGCTGGTACCAAGGGGACAGGACCTGGTAGCTCTGTGGCCAGCACGTGGTGCCAAGCTGTGTCTGGGGCCCACCACAATCCTCCTCTGCCCCAAGCACGCGAGGCTGTCCAGCTACCCGGGCCCCTGGGGAGGGAAGAGAGCCGGGCACAGCCATTCTGGGGCCACACTAATAGTTCTCCAAACCCCTCCTCTAGCCAGCAGCTGCTCCAGAAAGAAATACAGCCACAAAAGTCCGCGGAGGCTCCAGCAGCCTCCATTTCACACCCTCCTCTTACTAAAGATGAGCCTCTCTGCAAGCTCCCAGCTCTGGCCTCTGATCCTGGCTGCAGTGCCATGCTCAAGCAGTCAGGGCGACCGCTGAACCCATGGCTCTGTGGGACCTGAGGCAGCTGCGCCAGGCTGCTTTGGGCAAGAGCAGAGCTAACCACGGCCTAAGGCAGGAGCGGAGTGAGGGTTCAGGTGGGTGCTGCGCTCCTTGGCTTGCTCCAGTCCCATGCTCGCAGACTCCATCACCACCAAGCCCTTCCGTAAAGACAGGATTAGCCTTCCTTGGTTTTACTCCTCATTTTTACTCCTACAGTAAAGCATACACTGAACTTACTACATATTAAACAGCAAAAAACAGCTACCTAGAACCAAAGAGCTCTTTAAAAATCCAAGTTATCACATCTTTTTTTTTTTTAAAGATCCAGTATGACATCAAGTTAAACTATACAGTATTTTTTAATGAATATTAACAAACTGCTTTAAAAAAAAGGCAAAAAGAAAAAAAAGGAAAAAGAAACAGACAGAAAACTCAGTAGGAAGTTCTACATCTTTGAGGCAGCATGAAGTAAGATAATCATCTGTCCCTCTTCCTTGGGCAGCAGAGAGCAAGGTCTGCTTTAACCTCCTTAAAGCTGCGCACGAAGACGACTCAGCCCCAGGGTCAGACCTGTCACTGAACTGTCCCAGCCCCCGAAAATGCACCCCATTCCCCCTCACCGTGCTGGAAATGAAAGCCTTTCTCCACCTTTCAGATGAGCATTCCCTACCAGCAAAGCAGGCACAGCCCAACTCTCTGCAAGGTTAATCTGTCTATACTTGCCATAGACAGCATTTATTAAACTCATCCTAATCACCTGTGCAGCACATGGGCAACTTACTGGCTGCTGTTCACTAATTATAGCTCATCACAATGCTCCTACCTCATATGAGGGCCAGCCAAGATCACAGAAGAGCTGAGGCTGGCAGGGACCTCTGGAGATCATCTACTCCAACCCCCTGCTCGAGCAGGGTCAGCTACAGCAGGTTGTTCAAGACTGCGTCCAGTCAGGGCTTGAATATCTCCACAGATGGATATTTAACATCTTAATATCTCCAAAGACAGAGAGGGAAAGGCTGGTGGGCAACCTAATAAGCACACCTTCAACCTCCAAGGCATGTAACTGGCATGTAACAGGTCTCAGTCATGAGAAGCCAGCAAAATCCTGCAGAGGAAAACACCTGAGGCTACATTGACCTTGCTAGGGGAAATTTATTTTTAAGTGATGTTTACAAGAACTGTGCAAAACCTGAAAAATAAAGAAGAGGTAAAGAAAGAGTAAAGGGGTAAAACAGGACTCCTGCAAGGGTCGAAAAAAATACACTCCTCCTTTACCCACTGCTAACCTTCCCCTCCCCGTGGAGCCGAGCCCGCAGGCCAGGAAGGATTCTCCTGGCTTGCTCTGGTTCCCCCCAGCACATCAGACACCAAGCCCCTGGCACACGGTGTGGGTTACTGTCGGTGATGGTAACGTCTCCGAAGCTGTAGGTTATTAATAGTGTTCGCCTCACCCTTTAGTGTTCGAACTGCTGGGACGGCCCTTTGCCTGACCCCCCTGGAGGTATGCTAACGGCCCAAGTGGTGCAAAGAGGGAAGGGGCCTGCGGGCTGGAGGTAAGTCTTAGCAGGAGAGCTAGGTCCTTCAAGAAGCAGCTCTTAAATGCCAGGCTCTCGGCTAGGAGTAGGGCACGGAGGCTCTCCTTGCCACGCTCTCTGGTACCGGCGCAGTGCTTGCTACTCTTCCCCATGCTGCTGGCAGGGACAGGGGGCGGGCAGGCTCACTCAGAACCCTTGCAGAGTGTGACAGCCAGCGACTGCAAAAGCAGCAATGCCAAAGTGCTTTTTGGAGCTGTGCAGCCCCATGGCTTTTCCCTTTCTACACTCTAGAAAGAGGGAGAGCAGGGGAGGCTGGGGCAGTCAATCAATGCTAACGATCTGAAATGGTCCTCTCAACTGAGCTTGGACCAAGAAAGTTGGGAGATCCCAGCAGCGGAAACCTGCTACTTCCTCGCCGAGCAGCGTACCCCGAGAAAAGAGAAGGCTGGCTCTGCCTTGCTGCTGAGCCCTCTCCAGGAGGAGAGTTACGCAGCCCTCCCTGCCGACCCCGCCAGGCAGGGCAGGGGAAAGAGGCTGCATGCGAAGGGCTGGTGCCCACAGCGGGCAGCTGAGCTCCCAGCACTGGAACTGCAGGTACAGCGTGAGCTACAGTCCAGGGGACGCCAGGCAACTACAGGCATTATTTCCTCTCCCCACTTCCCTCCCTTCCTCTCCACCTCTTCGAGCTTTTCACATCGTCTGTCGCCTGAACAACAGAGGACAGAGGAAAGTTTACCTGCCCGCCCACCATACCTCCCCTTTCCCCCGAACTCTCTGCAGGCCATCTACAACAGAGGAGAGGAAAGGGGAGGCCAAGGCTCAGGAGCGTCACATGCAAGCTGAAAGCCGCCGAGGGGCAGGGGGCTCACGGCAAGCAGGCAGCCACCTGGTAGGCACCCTCGGCCGTGTGCTGGACACTGTGCTCCTGCAGCAGGCCCAAGTCCAGGAACCGCTCCCCGCACCACATGCACTTGTACTGCTGCTCCCGGGCGTGCACGCTGTGGTGCTTGTTGAGGTGCTCACGCTGCTTGAAGGCCTTCTCACAGGAAGGGCACTTGTAGGGCTTCTCACCCGTGTGCACACGCCGGTGGCGCTGCAGGTCCGAGGCGTACTTGAACCGCTTTTCACAGTCAGGGCACTTGAGGGGCTTCTCGCGGGCCGGGTCGCAGCGGTGCTGCACGAACTCGGAGGAGGAGAAGAAACGTCTCTCGCAGAGCGTGCATTTGAGCGGCTTCTCGGCACAATGGGCCAGCTGGTGCTTCTGCAGAGCCGAGGCCCGCTTGTAGGACTTGTTGCACACCGCGCATTTGAAGGGCCGCTCTGCGTTCTGCACACACTTGTGCCGCAGCAGCTCTGAGGACTGGTTGAAGCCTTTCTGGCACACGTTGCACTTGAAGAGGTTTTCTATGCCATGCACATGCTGGTGGTACACCAAGTGTGAGGGCTGCACGAAGCCCTTCTCGCACAAATTGCACTTGAAGGGCTCCTCGGCCTTGTGTGTGCGGCGATGGCGCATGAGCGCGTACTGCTGCTTGAAGCTCATCTGGCAGAGGTCACACTTGAAGGGCCGCTCCTCACTGTGCGTGCGTTCATGCTGCCGCAGGTCTGAGGGGCGCTTGAAGGCCTTCTGGCACTCGCCGCAGCGGAAGGGCCGTTCCCCGCTGGGCGTGCAGGGGTGCTGCAGCAGCTCCGATGACTCCTTGAAGTGCAGCTCGCAGACGTTGCACTTGAAGAGGTGCTCCCCTGAGTGCGCGTACATGTGGCGCACCAGGTGGGAGCGGTGCTTGAAGGTCTTCTCACACACCGTGCACTTGTAGGGCCGCTCCGAGCTGTGTGTCCGTTTGTGGTGCACCAGGTGGGATGACTGGCTGAAGCTCTTGTCGCACAGTGTGCACTTATACGGCTTCTCACCTGTGTGGATGCGCTCATGCCGGGACAGCTCTGAGAGGTGCTTGAAGGTTTTCTGACAGATGGAGCAGCTGTAGGGCTTCTCCGAGGGGTCAAGAGGTTGTGAATGCTCTGCCTCGGGAGGCTTGTAGGTCTTCTCACAGATAGAGCACTTCATGGCGTTGCCGTTGTGAACGTTGTGGTGCTGCGCCAGCGAGGTCAGGAGGGAGAAGCCCATCTTGCAGACGCCGCACACAAAGGGCTTCTGCTCCACCTGGATGCACTGGTGTTCGAGGAGGTCAGTGGCCTGGTGGAAGATCTTCAGGCACTGGGTACACTGGAAAGAGCGGTCATGGCCTGGCAAGCACTGGTGCTCATGGGGGTTGGAGAGGTGAGCGAGGTCGTGGCCACACACGCCGCATTTGTGGGACGGCTCTCCAGCCTGGATGGGGGCGTGCTGGTGGTGCTGCAGACCAGGGTCCGGCTGGAGCAGGATGCCGTAGACGGCACAGCCCAAGGGGTTGTCAGCAGTGCTGGGCGGGATGGAGTGCTCTGGGAGGGCAGCTGCCCCAGTGTGGTGCTGCTGCGGTGGTGGTGGCTGCTGTGGTTGCTGCTGTTGCTGCTGCCAGCTTTCTGACATGCTTGGGAAAAAAAAACGGGATTTTAGCAGTGACAGCTTCAGCTTCTCGGTTGAAAGGGTTCAAGTAAAAACAAAAATCAAAAGTATCCAAGATCCTGATTCCCCGTAGCTGATCCCCTGAAACTGAGGACAGAAAATCCAGCCCACAGTCAGGATCTTGGGATGCAAAGAGGTGACTGAGACTCCGCAGCCTCCTCCTTAGATCAGCACAAGTTCTTTGTGGACTGGTTTGGTTTGCCTTTTTCTTTTTTGGACAAAAGAACAGGAGGCAGAAGCAAGTGCCTTGAAGACAAGAGGAGGCCCTTCTCCGTGCTGTCTGCGATGTGCTCACATTTGGGAAGGGTGAGGGAGGCAGCCCAGGGAGCAGCTCTCTCTGCAAGGAAGAAGACAGCTCATGTCAGGTCTTAGAGGAAACACAGGCAACTCTCTAGGCAACCTCCCCCCACGGCTCACTTTGAAAACTCTCCTGTGTCCCTGCAAAGCTACCAGGAAACCAGCGTGGGGGAGCTAACCAGAACCGGAGCCCCACTTGCTGCTGTGCAAAGGCCCCAGGACAAGGCAGGCTCAGCCTGGAAAGGGTTGGGCTCTGCCCAGACACAGCCAGGCGCACATTTGAGCGGCATGCTCTCACAAGAGGCAGCACAACTACCTAGGTCCCAGTCAGCTCAGCTATTACCCCGTATGCTTGTCAGTCGCTGGATCTCCCAGCCCCACTGGGGGCACTGGCTGAGAACATCGGTCTCTCTGCATGGGCTGAGGTATGCCAAATATTGTGCAATCAAGAAGCTACTGGGTTAGATTTTACAGATATCACAGCAGATCCCAACCTGATCCCACCCCAGTTGAAACACCCCTGTGAAGCAGTTCTGCTCCTTCTGCAGCTCAGGTATCGGGCACATTACCCACGGGATGTATGTAAGAGCCTTCCCCCTCTCCGGGCAGCACTTGTAGACTAGGAAAAGCCAGAGCGCTCAGGGGAAGGTTTGCCCTCAGCATTATCCTATCTGCAGACAAAACACAGAACCCACAGGTATCGCGTGCAGCACTCTGTGAAGATAAAAGAAGTGTTAAAGCAATGGCTCAGCTGAACCTCCTACCAAACCACGGAATAAAAGTACACTGGAGCCAAACAACCTACACCAGATGTGCTGCCTGGCCTTACTACAGAGCATCACAGGGGATTTGCTCACTGAAAAGTTCCAGTCTTTCTAGAGATGTCCAGTAAAACCTGATATCAACTTAGAGAAGAGTAAAACCCACCAGTGAGCAGCAGATAGCAGTGAGTGCCAACACACCTCAAGAGAGAGAAAGGGTCTAGGCCCTGGCAAGAAGCAGCAGCTAGCACTCCTGGGCCATAAGCTCCTCACACTGCAAAAGCACACCCATTTCTGCATCAAACCGCCTGCCCTCACCACGGCAAGTAAAACCCTGGTCTTCCAGGAAGGTGTTTGCTGTATTTAAAACTAAGCGATAAGGAGCATCAGAGAAACCCACTTCCCAGCATCCCCACCTCCCCCAGTGCTCAGCTGAGACCGGATCGTGCCCCACAGCTTGGGCAGCACCGGACCGCACTTCTGCTTATGGGGACACTGCATTACTTTGTCTGCTGACAGAATTTTGAGCCCCAAAATACCCAAAGGCGCCATTGCAGCCCTGCCAGTATGCAGGATCTCCTCTTTCTCCTAGGTAGCTCACCTTGACTGCCGACACGAAGGGAGGGCTCAGTTATGATACCTAGCACCCAAGCTTGATGGGATATGAAACTTCAGCAGAGCCCAGCTGCCACTTTCCTCCCACAGGCAATGTTAACCGTGGCAGGAGCAACCCAACGCCAACGGCATCCCAGACCATCCAGCCTAATGGCGATGTGAAGCTTTTGTGTCCCCCCAACAGGGAAGAATAAGAAATACCAACCTTGGCTTACCGAGGGCTCTGCAGGGGTACCCGAGTCGGCGCCAGCTCCGAGCCTAACTCATCCCTCCGTGGGAGGTGGGAAGCAACAACCATTTAAGGAGAGAAGATGCGAAAGTAGAGGTACTTTCAAACTGCAGAAGCGGCCCACGGCACGGCCCGCTCCGGCATGGTCCGGTCCGACTCCCGCCTCCCCC